CCCACGCCGCCCGCCCACGCCGGCCTCCCGCCCGCGCAGCCCCATCCCGCCCCGCAGGGCCTCTCCCAGCCGCTCTCCGCCTACAACAGCAGCAGCCTAAGCCTCAACAGCTTAAGGTAGGTGGGTGGACTGGCTGCCCCGGCCCYGTGTTGGTGCCTAGGGGAATGTGAAAGGGACGAGGTGGTGGGGAGCCTGGCCAGACCTGGCGTTGAGCAGTTTGGCCCAGTCCTCCCTCCTTGGCATCGCTTCAGCTCTGATCTAGCGAGACCTCCAGCCTCAAGCGAGTCGCCAAGGTGCTGCTACCTCCCTACCAGTCCCTGCACACTCAGGCCATCGAAAGAGGTTGTACAAGCCCCTATGGGGTCAAGCCCCCTTCTTGTGGCTGAGCTGCTCTCCAGAGGGTGCCTCCTTCCCTGTTCCCACCATTTGGCTTCCCAGAGCCCCTGTGAAACGGGCCCGCGTGAAACGGGCCCCTGCCACCCTTGATCTGACTGGTCAGGCTGGCTCCTCGCAAGGAGCATAACACTACTCAAAGTAATGACAAGTAAAATGAAGMGCTAAGCAAATGTATTTTAAATACGCCCTCCTAGGAAATTAAACCTGAAAAGTTGATACCAATACAGTCACAAATATTTATTTAGTTGACTATCTTGCCTGTCTGTATTGTCAGAGTAGAGAGAGGCATTAACCATGCAATGAGCCTCTGTCCATTGTTGCCTGTGCTASCTTGTTTCCCATTTTCCACAGTCTTTGTGTCACAGTTCTAACAAAAATTAAACTTTATTAATGCAGTAATTGCTGATTTTGAGCTTCATTTACCTGAAGCCATGAATCAGTAGTAGTCATGAAGAAAGGACCTTATTTTTAAGCAATGAACATTCAGGGTTGATTGTTCCATTGTGTCATCCCTGCGTCACTAGAGCACAGAAGCTCAACCACTAACAGAGAGTAAAAGAGGCTAAAAAGATCCAGCACAGGCAAGGGTTAAAGAAAGGAAGAGCAGACTGGCACATGTAGATTCGCAACTTCCTTTTGTGAACCGTAACTTGCTTTAGCAATTTAATTCAAACCCTGGGTAGCTTGGCRGGATTGGCTATGTGTGAGTGTCTTTGAAGCTTCTCTGTCTTCCATGCACAGCTTAATGGCTTCTCCTTCCCTTGACAGCAGCAGCAGAAGCAGCACTCCTGCCAAGACTCAGGCGCCTCCTCCACACATATCTCACCACCCCTCAGCCTCGCCGTTCCCCTTGTCTTTACCCAGCCACAGCCCGCTGCACACCTTCCCGCCCACCCTGCAGCCCCCCGCACACTCACATCACCCCAATATGTTTGCCCCTCCTACGGCTTTGCCTCCTCCACCACCATTGACGTCAGGGACGCTGCAGGTTCCAGGACATCCAGCTGGTAGCACTTACTCAGGTAAGCACTGTGTGGGTTATGGCAGAAGCCTGAAAACCGACTCTCTGCTTTTAGTAAAAATGAATCCTTTTGGTCATTGGGGTGAGGGCTGCTGTTTGGATRGAGGTTGGATTCCTTGGTGATGATATTGAGAATGATACCAAAACCCACTCAGACTTCGCCAGTAACTTCTCTTCTGACCTGGAAAGGAGTATTTTTGAACAGCGGTGACTTTTTTATGTCTGTTTTTTTCTCCTCCTGCCGAAAACACATTAGTTATTTGTTTGAGCCCCATTCTACCCCCCAAAAAAGTAATTTGTGAATCCGTTCAAGAAGGCCCTTGTCACAACTGTGGTTCCTGCTCTCCATTACTTCTCTCTAGAGAAAGTCTCCAACTGCCCGTGCACACAGTGAAGCTGAATTCATGTGCCTGCAAGAGTGTGTGTGTGTGTTGGGAGGGAAGGAGATAGAGAATTTTGATCTGTGGCATATTGTGCTGTTATATACGTCGATTGGGGAAGGCAAAGCATGTCTGTTCCTCCCAAAACCCTGAGAGGGAACTGSAGGAAGAAAAGGGAGAATATCTGAGTAATGGTTTTGCATCCATAATGCAAGATGGTCATGTTAGCAGCTGCCACCCTATATTTACTCAGTCCAGCTGAACAATTATTCCTCTCCTGGTTTAAGAGTCAGAATAGGTCCATGAAAACGTAGTGGGAGCCACCAARTCACAGAATCACAGAATAGTTAAGGTTGGAAGGGACCTCTAGAGATCATCTAAGTCCARGTCTCCTGTGGGAAGTTTTAAATAGCCCCTTGCTACTACAGCCACCAAAAATTGGCACAGGAAAAGTCCCTGAGCTCACGGGCGCTTGTCTTGCTTTGTTTCTGTTGCAGAACAAGATCTTCTTCGTCAGGAACTAAACACACGCTTCTTGGCCTCCCAGAGCGCAGACCGCGGCGCGTCCCTCGGCCCACCGCCCTACCTGAGGACGGAGTTCCACCAGCACCAACACCAGCACCAGCACACACACCAGCACACACACCAGCACACCTTCACGCCCTTCCCGCACGCGATCCCACCCACCGCCATCATGCCAACGCCAGCACCGCCCATGGTGCGTACCCCAGGCAGAAATGTGAGGATAAGTAGAGCACAACTCTATTCTTTATTACAAAATTGATAATAATAATAAAACATGCAGTTTAGGGGAAGGAAAATGATGAAAATGAGTTTAGGTATTGTTGGGTAGGAAAGGAAGGGCTATATCCCTTCCTCATGGTTCTTGCATGGGTGGCAGTTTCAAATGGCAGCCCAGAGGYTGAGAAACGAGGCCTGCTGACCAGAGAGACAGTAGTACTTGGGACCTGGTAGTGCCTGAAACGGTGGCACCGCAGTGCCAGCTCCTTTTTCCTTCCCCGTAAAGACGTTTTCTTAATTGAAGCAAGAAAACTCCCAAACACACTCCCAGTGGAAACTAATTTTCTGCATATTTGTTTCTCTCTGTTGGTTGCTAAGTAATAGAAAAATAATCTTCTATTTTACCAACAGAAGTGAGGCAACGAAATATAAAGTAACTAGTTTGTGCTTTGATCCCTTTGCAGTTTGACAAATACCCTACAAAAGTTGATCCCTTCTACCGTCACAGTGTGAGTTTTATTACCCTGTTCAAAACTGACTTGCTTTTCTGTGGTGGGCTGGGATCACCACTCAGTAAATGGCAAAATGTTGAATCTCTCCCTAATCATCACTCCAGAATTTACCATTATCGTTCTTGGTTGCTTTGGCTTTTGAAGGCTTGCGTTTGTGGTGCTTGTTTCTGAAAAAGATGCAGTATCGTCTTTTCTAATCAAAAGATCTCTTGCTCATACACTGTTTGAAGGCAAGTTTGATGTGAAAGAGAGACAGAAGAGCTGACTATGTTACATGAAGCAGGATGTATCAGTAATTTCATCACTGTGTTTCAGTTGTGCCACAAACTATTAGACTGATATTTTTCTTAAGCAACTTGACAAACTGTCATACAAATCCTTCAGGGATAGGTAATCTAATAGTTTTTCTAATATAACATATTTTGTTTTATAGAATCTGAAAGCTTGTCTTATCCTTCAGATTTCAAAGACATATCTGATCCACTGGGCTTGTTAGATTTTGAAATCTGTTTCATGACAGTAATAGGAATGTAGCTATGCATTTCATGTTTAAGAGCTACAAAAATATGCTCTCTGTGGAAAAGTAAAATGAATTGTTTTTTAAGGTCTAGTTAATTGTAAAGCTTCTGTTCTTAAGGATTTGAACACACTGGTTCTTTTACTTCCAAAACATATGTTACATTTCCTTCAGCATATTGGCAGAGACAGATACCTGACTGAATATGCAGAGAATTTCTAAATACCATAGTGATATTTTGATGAGGGAAGGGGTGCTGCATCAGCATTCAGAAATTTGCAAAGCACTTGGCTTTATGTGTTCTTTTTGCTTAGAAGTGGAACTGGGCAAAAAAAAGAGGCTAGGACAACAGTGTGATGCTTTCTGTTGCACTAAAGAGACATATCCTGCTGTTAACTCATGCCTAGAGTACATGGGAATTGACCTATTAATTTTGGAGTCCTCGTTTGAGTAACTTTAACTGCATGGGCGTTTGCAGGATCTCAGCATTRGGAGCACCGGGCAAGCATTTAAGCTTGTGATAATCAGTGGTACTGAAAAAGGTGAAGCTGCTGATTTGCATCGTTGTTTGCAAAATTGCACTCTTATTTGCTGAGCTTTACCTGGATTCATAGGATAGATTATTGTCAACCTGGCATATTGCTTCAAGCAGGAACAGGGAACTGGGAAATAGGTGAATGAATTTTAGACAAGTAGAGCACAGATGTCAACATGCAGCGTGGGAAACACTGAAAGAGTTACCTGCTATATGCATTGCTGAAATCCATGCTGACACACTCATACCTGAATCCTATCACACTGGACTGTGGTCTTGACTTCTAAAGTGGACTAGTCCATGAGCCAGGCCACTGCATTTACTGGAGCTTCAGCCCCAGAAATCTAGCCCATCACGCCTCCATCCCCCTTCTTTCTGGAAGAAATTTGTGCTGATSAAGTTGTTGCACAGTGATCACTATTCTGGCTATTGGTTATTTAACCAAGCTGTTACCAGGAGAACGCTGTGGTGGCTACAAGTCATGTTGTTGGACTATAGTAAGGTCATAATAGCATAGCACACTTCAGTTTCTCTTCTAGTATGGAAGAAATTACCTCAAATGTTGATAACAGAGGCAAAAGAAAACTGCTTGCATCRGTTTCTTGATCAGCTGCAGTATCAAAAAACATAAATCTGCTTCAGAGACTATAGGATAAGGAGAACAGACTTACTACAGAGTTTTTAAACAGATTTCCTTCCTGGCGTCTTTCATTTTACTTTAGCATAGCAAAGAGTTACTTTTACTTAGAGATAACCTGCTCCAGGGGAGCAATGGTTTCTAAAATTTCACCTGAGAAAGCTAGAAGGGAAAAATGCTGCTCCAAAGAAAGGAATGCTGGGGTAAAAGGAGACACTAAGAAAAATGTGTTTTAAAAGCTTGAGGAATTAACTGATGTGAAGAGATCATGGAGATACAACCGTTCCATTTTGTGAATAATTGTAACCTTGAGGGAAGGTCACATTTAATTAACTTACCAGTTGTTGTAAAACTCTTAGGAAAGCGTTCCTTATGATTAGTCACAGCCAATAGAATATTAAGTATTATGTCTCTTTCTATCTTTTGAAATTAGTCCATTACACACAGAATTAAATGCAGAAGACACTGGAGGATTTAAAACACATTTTAGTCATTAAAAGTTATTGTAAATGAGGACATGTGTCTCTTAATGAGTTCTCAAATGCCTACAGTTCACTATCAACTAATCTAAAAATGTTTTCTGCGTCATTGAAAGGAGTGGGTTCAAATTAAATAGAATTAAAAACAACGATAGAAACATATTATGAAATACCTACATCTCATCCTTTTAAACTAAGAAGTATTTTTGATACCTTTAATGTGCTGAAATATTTTCTCAGCTCTCGGTAACTCTAATAGGAATAAATGACCTTAAAAAAGAAGCTAATGGAGGGAGAAAGGCTTAAGGAAAACTCGGGCTTATAAACAAATTGAGCAAAACTTTGATACTGATTTACTCTGGAGCACAATTTGCTTAGCGTTTTCCCATTCCACATGTCCAGCCCTTTGCCCAGTCCTGCTTCTAGTCAATTGGCCATTAACTCATTTATTTTGATCTTAAAAGTAGCATACAGTAGAGTGATCTTTGCTGAGCCCTTTCAGCATCTTCCCTGCTTAGGATGCAAGTGAACTAACCGCACTGAAACGCAGGAAGAAGATTCACAACTGCGCTACAGAAAGATGACTGGGGCATTATTACGGTTTATTTTGTTTTTCCCCTCACTTATTTGTCTGTATTAGCACAGAAAAGCTTTTTTTGGCYAAGTTATTTCAAAACAACTGAGCTCTGTTGAGATCAGTACCATCAGCGGAGACATGCACCTTTCGAGGTCTAATGACCTGTCCTTACAAGAAGAATGCCCCAAATTTTAGCAGGGGAGTCTGCCTGCACTATTTGTCTAAATAATAATTTGTAACAAATCAGATTGTCTCCTCCCTGCTGGTATTAGTCGTGACAGGATATCCTCTTAGACGGGCTAATGAAGTAAGAATTGTGCATAGTTTCCTCATTTCCTGCAGAAACTATTAAAATACTAAAGCACTAATGGAGTTTTAATGATATAATATCCTAGAACTCATAAGGGTTTTCTTTTTCCACTTAAAATGGTAGTTTCCTGGGCCTGATTTGGCTTTGTAGTCTGCCTTTTCTCTTGAAATGGTTTACAGACTGAAACCATTTAAAGCACATATCTAATTTAAAAATTAGTATTTGCAAAAAAAAATCTCTCTTACACTATGTTGGCCTCATTAAGGAGTAGTTTGCTGGCTATATGATTTTGGAACTGCTTTTAAGTTCTAAAATAAACATCATGACATTCGTGAACATTTCATTGACTGCTTTAACTAACATTGTTGCAATGAAATCACTTCTTCAGTGCTTCTCGATTTGCTCCATGTATCATTACCTTACTGTTCTGCAAGGTTGCTTTTGCTGTCCTGTCCCATTTGTGTCCTCATTTTGAAGTTAGTGCACCTGTATTTATGTTGTTTTATCTTTTTGTTACAGCTGTTTCACTCCTATCCTCCAGCTGTATCAGGTATTCCTCCCATGATTCCTCCAACTGGCCCTTTTGGCTCACTGCAGGGAGCATTTCAACCCAAGGTAAAATAATAATAATAATAATAATAATAATATATTACAATCATTTTTATTTGTCCATCTGTTACTATTCAAAAACACCAGTGTTGTGATCCCCTTTAGATTTGGGTTTAGAATTTGCTTCGGATTCTGGAACAGTAAATTCTCCTGGGCAATAAGTTGATTGGAGTTACAGTAACCTAATTCCACCGAGGAAAAATGGGCTTTTTCCAAATTCACTGTGAAGGGCAGTTATTTCTCATTAGGTTCAGATATATCTATATACTTTTTTTTTTTTTTAAATGCATAGTGGCATTGTTACCTTTAGAAGTAAAATGATGAGTTCCCAGATAACATGCGCTAATATAAAGTCATGAGCTAATCATGATTTTAAAAAATGGTGATTATTATTATTTACTCATTTACATCATTATCTCATAACTTCACTGTAATGCAATACAGTGATGTAGTTCTCCTGTCATCTACGATAGCTATGAGAGCTAAATGTGATGTGCTTTCTTCCTTTTTTTTGTTTTGTTTTTGTCAAGTCACTCTTGATTTGTAAGTAGGAAGAAATCACATTCTGTAGCCTGTAGTCTTTGCAACCGAAGACTGAAATCAGGCCTGAAATTTCGCGGAGACACCTTCTCTCTTAAATTGCCCCATCCACTCTAATGACTGAATATGTAAATTG